AGTCGACGTGGGTGCCCAGGTCGAGAGTGAAGCGCTGGCGGCGTTCTGGGGGATCCTTGGGAGCGGCGGCGTAAGCATAAGCATAAGAGGTGGCGGCATTTCTCAACCCAAAGGGGTATGAGGATGGTGCCATCGCCGGACTTTGCTCCACCGAAACTGGCTCTTCAGGGAGTGGTGGAGCAGAGCTTGGTGACTGGGCGTCGCCATGTGCCACCGGCATTTTTCCTTCATCCAAGCTTAGGCTAGACAGGTCCCCAGCCAGGGAGCCTGTGCCAACAGCTGGTCATAGGATGTCGGCGGGGAGCGACGTGCCATCCTGGATTCGAGTAGCATTGGGGTGGTCTTGCTCGTGTCGTGCCTGGCGAGCACGGTGAGAGCGGCCGCCCGGGCACCGCCTGCGCCTGGACTGTCGGTGTGTGACGTCGCCGTCGGTTGGTGGGGTTCGGGGCGTGAGGAGTACCATGTCGTACTCATGCCCTAGAGACATGAACTCTAGGCCCCCGAACGAGATCACCGTGCCGAGACGTAACGGCCGTACGGGGTCTGCCATCCAGAACTTGTTGGGATGACGAAACTGACACGCAGATCCCCTACCTGGCGCGCCAACTGTCGGTGTTTTGGACCGGGGGGGGTCCTCAACCAACCAGTAAATGTGAACTGCGTGCCCCTAATCCCGGATGGTGATGCAAAGAGACACAAGGTTTATACTGGTTTAGGCAATCGATGCCCTACGTCTAGTCTGAGAGATCGATCTTGTATTCCTTGCACCGAAGTGCTAGTAGTAGGGGGTTACAAGCACAGCGAGAGAGGGAGCTAATCCCAGGTCTCAGCGAGGTGTCGTGTGGGCGGCTTGAGACGTTGCTCTCAGGCGGCTGGGATGCGTATGTGTGTGTGCTATCAGGTGTTCTTCTTCTCCTCCTTAGAAATGGCCCTGGCTGCCCCCTTTTATAGCTGTAAGGAGGGAGCCGGTAATACATGAGAGAGCTATACGTGGAACCTTAGAAGGAAGATCTAGTACTCTATCCCTGTAGCAGCACAGTGCCGGGAATGATAATTGGTACTTGATCACTGGCGCGCCGTGCTGGCCAGGCCCGAGGTTGTTGAGGTCATGGGGGTCCTTGTTGATGTCTAGTCAGTATGGCTTCCACTGTAGGAGGCATGCCGTGCCTTGTGTGTTCTTGACTTGGTGGAGTGCCGAGGCCTGGCGGGTGCTGTAGCTGATCGTGCCGAGGCCTGCTTTGCCGAGGCCTCAGAGGTGACCCGTGTATGATGCGGGGGTCTTGGTGGTCTGCGTCGTACCCGGTTCAGGGGGAGAAGTGCGGAGCGTGTGTCCACAGGGCACAGTAACCCCTGCACCGTCAGTAGGGGATGGTAAAAAGGAGATTTGACCGCTGTCCCATCGCCCCTGTTGCTGTACCCTGTCAGTCGTGGCTATCGTAGTGGGTGCGACCGGGCGCACTTTAAACGGATGTGACGGCTTGCCAGAGGGACAGTTGAGGTGGAGGCGACGAGGATGCGGGACGAGCCCGGCCTCGGCCGAGGCGGAGAAGGAATAGTACGTCCGAGGCCCTACCGGGGGGGTCTCGGATGAGGCGGAGAAGGAAAAGTACGTCCGGGGCCCTGCCGGGGGGTCTCGGACGAGGCGGAGGAGCGGTTGGTCTTTCATGCTGATTCCGAGACTACTGGGACCCGGACTTGACCCTCCACGCCACTTTGTCCTTGGCGTAGGAGTTAGGCAGCACAGGGCAGTATTCTGGTCCCCTGTCCCGTCGGTCATTCTGCCTGTACAGTGCCGACGTGCGGCTGACGTTGCGGGAGTAGTGGGGCGCATTAACTGGACGTGATGTTTTGTCAGGGGAGTCGGTCGGGACGGAGGTGACGAGGTTGTTTGCCAAGCCCAGCCTCGGGCAAAATGGAGAATTGGTATCCCAGCCGAGGCCTTGCGGGGCGGGGCCTCGGCGAGACGGAGGGCTTTGGCCTTTCGTCTGAGGCTTCGGCGCAAGCCTTGGGCGAGTCGGAGAATCTGCCGAGACCTCGTGGTCGTCCTTCGGCTTTGATTTTTGCAAGGCTTAAGCAATATTTTCGGTTCTTGCTTAGGGTACCCCTTCTTGTGGTATCCGACACTTACCATCCTCTTGCAACCACCAATCGCTTCAAATGTAGCAGTGCCACTTGGCTGGTCACTTGCCACTGCTACTTCCTTAGCGTCACAACGAGATCCACGAGTGCGACTATGGGAGCTCTGACTCCTCCAGCGAACTGCAACGAATCAATGTCATGCATGTACAAATTTTCCAGTGTCATCCCCAATGTACATATTTTCCAGTACCTAGTAGTACCTGAGGTGAAAGGGCGGCAAGATTGTTGGGGAATCATGTAGTGACAATTCATTCATAAAAGTTCTAACATAGTATTTGGTTAAGAACCACCTCATTCTAGATGAGGTAGTGCATCATGAATCCATTTCTTAAATTTGGTGGAATGATTATGTTCCTCATACTAGTACATTCTTGAAATTTTATGACAGAGTAATAGAGAACATAAAAGACGCATGTGTCATCACTTTATTTCCTAATTAGACACTATCATCAACATGATTAATGGGTGATTGGTTGATAAATGGAAAGTATTTATGCAAATGCAAAATTATTTTATGTCCCTAGAATCCCTTATATTTGAGTATAATTTTTTGAATGCTTGTTAGTGCTATATTATATGACACAGAGAGTACTTCGTTCCTCAAACCAAATATCATATAAAACTCAGGATATAGCTATATATGTGCTGGGTTGTAATGAGCAACTGGAGAGATCAGTGCTTATCTACACAAAAGTATCTAGATGCACACAACAGACTAACTAGTAGTGCACATATGTATATGTGTGTATATGCCAACAAGAGAGGAGGCGTAAAAACTTTGGTACATATACAGAGGCAGAGTGTCGTCAGTCATCACACTATTTCTTTAGCCACATTAACCCCTAGAATACCCGTGCAGCTCCTCCAAGAAACCACTGCCCACGTCGCCCCAGATCTTCCCGGCTGTTAGATCTCGCATTGGAGGGCCCAGATTTCTTGAAGCTGATTCCGCCGGAAACGGCTTCTCGCGGGCTTCTCCGGCTTCTCCTCTGCTTTTCCGACTTCGCGTCCGAATCCGGATAACCAAATATACACAGCGGCTCCTGATTCCCTTTCCAGATTCTTCTTCTGCCCCTCCCCTCTCTCTCTATTGGTCTCTCTCTCCTTCTCCATCCCGACGAGGACAGGGTGGCGACGACTGGCGTGGCGGCTGCGGCCACCCTCCTCGTCCTCCTCCTCCGTCCTCCCTCACCTGCCTCTCACCTCCGTTTCTCCCCCCCTTCCTCCCTCCCTCTCCCCTTCCCTCCCGAGGCGGCGGTGGGCACGAGGCGGCACGCGAGGCGGCGGCGGCTGCCAGGCAAGGCGCCTCTGCGGCCGCCTCGCCGGCGCGGGAGGGGCTCGGTGTACCCCTCTCTCTCCCCCATCCTCCGTGCGGGCTCAAAACGCCTCCTCCCGCTAGGGAGCTTGTGCTCCTCTGCTCGATGAAACCATAGGTTCGTGTGCGCTGGCGGAGATTGGCTTTCTCGCCGGCGGAGACGGCGCCGGCCGAGCTCAGCGGCTGGATGTGCCGGTAACTGGCCTTGTTCTCCTCCTCCGTCGATCTGATTTTTTTTTGTCTACCCCACGTCGGAGGCACCCTGCAAGGATCCTGGTATTTGGAGCAATAGGCTACGTCCGTGTCTCGTGTGCCTCGTGCATTTGGATTGAATTTTTGAGCTAGCAACCAATTCTGATATAGGTGCATTCGTTCAGCTGGACAGGTTCATGCCAAAAATATTTCATTGATTTAATATATGCCTGAAATCTATACAGTACATTTTTCTTGTTTAAAAATAATGTGTAGGCGCATGAGCATGACCAAACCTAGGTAATAGATTGTCCTTGTTTGAATGCTTCCTTGATATGTTTAAAATCCTATTTGTTCTTTCTCAATACTTATATTTTAGATGCAAAAGAAGCAGAAGTTTTTAACTGCTCAGGGGGGACACCGGCATGAGCAGCTTCAGATCTACGAGGAGCCGCACTGATTCCTTATGGTTTGTTGCTCTACTTCAGCTTCCCTTTTCTATTCCCATATTTTTTTTGCCTCTTTGGTTCCACGTGCACACATGTAGATGAGCATCATGCTCAATTGCTGATGACAGCCATAGCGGTTTGGAAGTCCTCACTGAACAAAAAGTTCCCTGCTAGCAACTGCTATATGCCCAAGAACAGGAGTATGGTACATTTCCCTAGGATTTCTAATTGACTATGATCATATATATCTGTAGGAAACCCAAAGAATATACTGAATGTTTTTCTTTGCCATGTTCATCATGAAAATTAGAGCTACTCTCGAGGCCTATACTAAAAGAGCACGCCATGTATATGAACATTTTCTTGAGACAGCTACTACATATCATCAGTAGGTATTTGTTGTTTCCTTTTCCCACCTACCTTAGTCAACGATTTTTGGGTCAGATATACTAAAAGGCACGCCATGCATTTATTCGTTCACATGTGTAGACACTATAATCCATCATCGCTAAAAGGTGCGCTCTGTATTTGTTCGTTGTCAGAAAAAGATTTCCTGTCATTTGGATAAAAGAGAAAAGGATGATTCATCTACTGGGTATATTCACATTAGAGTTCAATGCAGTGTCCATAAAAGATTTGGTTACTGGTGTGTAGCTGGTTTGTTTACCTGGGCTGTGTTCGCTGTAGATTTTTTTCAGCTGCAGCTGTGTTTGCAAACAGCAAATAAATTTCTACTGCTTCTAGAACAGCTACCATGTAGCTACAGCCTACAGCCACAGCCTAAAAATGACAGCCAATCAGAGAAAAGTTCAGTATTTGAAGCTGCGCTTGATAGTCCTCCTAATAATGTAATTGGTTTTTGTTCGTTGATCACATATGTCTTCCCCAATGATGACAAAGTAGGGATGAAGCACATCAAGAAGTATGTTGAAATGATGATGCACGAGAATGTCTCCAGAGCTGTGTTAGTACTTCAACAGAACCTAACTCCATTTGCAAAGTCGTTTCTCATAGAATTGGAGCCAAAGATCCATTTGGAAGTTTTCCAGGTTAGTCTGCACACCCAAAAGCTACTCCAATTTGACTCATTGCTTGGCCCGCATGCTATTGTGCAATAATCAATGATTTTCTATGTCATGATTTATGATAACTGAAGTAATGAACAGGAGGCCGAGTTGCTTATAAACATCAAGGAGCATGTTCTTGTTCCTGAGCATCAGGTGCTCACACATGAGGACAAGAAGACGCCATTGGAGCAGTACACCTTAAAGGAAACTCAGGTATTGCCACTTATTGACACTTGCAGATTTATGCCCTTTTTTCTCTTTTCCCTATTATGGACATCCTAATGTAGTGTTCCATCCTACTATAAGAGTCTTTCCAAGCACTCTGTTGTTACAGAGTCTGTTCTAGATTTCAAGCAGCATGTCTGTATTCAAGGAGGCAAACCACTAGATTTTTAATCTTGTATTATAGTTCCAATGCTCCCCAATATGCTATATGAACTTATTGGCCTTTCTACTATGAGAAACCATTTCGAAATAAATAAAGTGTGTGTTTATGAGTAGGACGCTTTTCCTTTGCACATGCCTCCTAATTGTCTGGTAAAAAAAGTGTTGCGCGCATTTATGCTTGTGTGGCACCAAACTATGGCTGTGACTGCTCAACAATATTATAGGCATGTTGCCTTCTGTGGTCTTCCTGTTTCGAGAAGATTTACTAATTCAAGTCTCATTGCTTTCGTAAACTTTCTTCCCGCTCCTTCTCCCCCTCTTGATTCCTTGCTGTGTTGTTACCAGATTAATGTATCTGCATTGTAAGTCATAGGAATATCCATGTTGTAGTTTCAGCCTCTAATGATGATATTTATTGTTCTTTGTTCACATATTAGTTCCTTCACTACAGAAACGTATGGCTCATTGTCTAAAAAATGGAAAGATACAGCTACGCTCAAAGAAATATGTACATATTTAACTGCTGTCATTTATCGATTCTCTTGCAAAATTGTAAGTGCTCCTATGTAGCTGCTACCTGTAATTAGTGAGAATGATAGACTTTACCCAAAATTATTGTTTGCTACATAGCCTATGAGTTGTCTTGTCCGCATTTACTTCCAGTTGAATTTATGCCTGCTACTTCATTTACTTCAATTGACTTCTCTCATCAAGATGCAGCCACGAGCCCTCTTTGCTTTATATTTCAGGTACCTGCCTTCCTTGTACAGCTTCTCTGATTTTTTTATTTCCTCACCCATCCATCTATGTTCTTACTGCGTTCGTATAGAAGCTTCTATGTAATACATCCATGGCTTTACAAATAGTGTGTTGCGGCATATACTTTTGTACTGGTGCTAGATAGACAAACCACCACCAGCTCTGGGTACAAACAAATAAAATTATTCCAGTTGTTTCTTGACATAATCGAAACTTTTTCAAAGCCTTCATGAACCATAAGCTACAAGAGTAGTGTTGTAGTCTTCTTTGAATTATTATTGGCGTGTAAGCATGTTCTTCTTAGACATTAGCTTACGCAAAAGGATTGAAATTCAGATTTCCGTGTACACATTATATTGAATGCTGCTACCTGTGAGCAATGAAATCAATTGAACATCTGCTTATTATTCAAATCAAGGTTATTTCACATTTTGAATATCAAATTTTGAGCTTAGTGTTCAGTGATGCCTCGAGGAAAAAAAGGTTAAAGTGCATTAGAATGTTAGCTTGAGGAAATGTTCTGTTTTCCCTCAGAGTGCCATGTCTACTGATAGTACAACCCCATTCTTTAAACGGATGGATATAGTTTGTAAAGTATGACCCAGGATTTGTTAATGTTGTTGAGCCATCACCTCTACCTATCATGGCCAGTAGTACTTGCCTACAGGAATTGTGTCTGAGATTATTTTGACGTCAATGTCAAAGTTTAGTTGTAGTTGTAGGATCTAATTTTGCAGTTTTCTTGCCAGATGATATGGGCCACGATTTCTATGGTTGATGCTGAAAAGAAGCTCTTGGCTCATGCCCTACAAGATCCTGAAAACTAGCGTTTTGTCTTCCTTTTTGAGAGGTTAACCATTTTTATTTGTTCCCAACTAAATTTGAGTGATGGGCCCTATGCTAACACTTTATTCTAATTGAAGCTGTATATCAGTTCATAATTTTAATTATGTATAAGTTATCTCATGGAGACAAACATCAACTTTGTCGATGGGTAAGTGAACATATATACTTACATAGAGCAGCACGTTAGCTTTTCCCCTAAACGGAGTTGCGAAGATTTGATTTAGGCTATCCTTTTCCCTTGATATTATGTTTTAAAATAGGACTGGTTGTGCTACTGACATGCTGACCTATCTTTTTCTCAGTTTTGATGATCCTGCTCCACATAGAGCAGGTACATATTCTAACCATATGCTACCTGAAGTTCTGCAGAGATTGGAGAAAAGGTGCACAGGTGATGTTTTCATATGACTGATAGTCCTAGAAAGTGGAAATTTATGGTTACAAAAATGTTGCTTCATTTTGTCCCCCCCAAAAAAATGTTGCTTCATTTTCTGTACAGTTACCCTTTTTTTGGCTTCCAGTAATTCCCTATCATCCAAATTCGACTAATTATAACAGTTGTCACAGCTTCTTGCAGTTAACCTCGAATGTTCTCATGTGCTCTTCTCATAGTTAAAAAATGTTGCTTCATATTTTGTGCAGTGACCATATGCTATCGAAGTTTGTTATATGCTCTCAGCAGTTTGATTGCACCTGTCTTCGTGCTAATTTGAAGGGCGATCATGTTTATAGGTCCTGCATAATGTTTTTTTTGGTATTTTCCCTCTCTTTGGTTCAATGTATATTGTCTGCGACACTGTCCTATTTGGAGATGCTATTTGTTCCATATTCATACAATGGAGTAATTTAATTAAAGAGATTACCATAGTGCTTCAGTAACAGATGTCACTGACAAACTAAACTTCTAATGAAATTGTCTATCTACCCACAGCGACAACAGCAATTAGGATAGGAAAATGAATATTTAATATTCCTTTCTTTATTAGTTTATGACCATCACAATGTTCTTCCTACCTATATTCTACTATACAAGTTCAGATCTCCCTATTTGTTACATGATTTTAACTACATATGAACATACAGACTGTTTATTTGCCCTTGTTCCTTTCACATTCCTAAGCAATCTCTATTCTTGATTACATCAGCCATAGTTTCACATTCATGTGCACACTATGCAACAATACATTTGATTATTGTTGCCACTTGATTCTTCTTACTGGCATTGCCTCATGCCTGCCTGGTTACCTATTCCTGTATGCTACTTACCAAATTATTCTTCTGCAGATTTTCAGATGCCGCGTGATTTCCTTCCAATAGAACATCAGCAAGCAAGACAAACTACAAATTGTCTCCATGCCTTAACAACATGGGAAATGGGGATACCACCCACTAGATGGCGGTCTGAGAGCACATATAGATCTTGTTTTGACCGATGCAAAGGTACATGCCAATTTTCTCCTGTACTTTCCCTTTGTCGATATATGTAAACTAACTATCAATGTATTCTTATATATGTATATTCAATAGTATTCAATGGTCTCAGCTGCTCAATTTTATGACAAAATATTTCATAGATTCTACTATTGTTTAATATGCCTGCCTCTCAAGTTGACATAACTGAAACATCCTTAATTTTCCTTAAAGGAAAAATCCACAAAATGAATTTTAATATGATAAAACCAAGAACTGATTCCATCACATTATCATATTTCAGTCGATGTCACAGTCATACATCGTAAGATTACAAGAATACTAGATATCACATCACTGGGGAACACACCTATTACAGAGTTAATCTAGCGGAAGACTATCGAGTGAAGGCTCCTCCTTCACGGGCATCATAAGAGTTGGCGTAGTGCAGCGTAGATTCCATCTCCGAACCAAACTTGAGCGTAGGCACGAGACCTCCTAATCCTTCTAAAGTCAGCATCTCTGAGAAGCAGGAAATCTGCACACCGCCAGATGTGTGCAGGCCATGGTCAGCACCGATGAGCTTTAGTGGAAAAAGATAAACAAGGGATCTGGCGATCCTAATATTTGGCTGTGGTTTGCATTCTTAGCGCATGAGAAGTAATTAACAATGGTAATATAATAGTATCCAATTTTTAATACATTCACCACCACACCATCCATATCCATCCACCAACCACCCATCCCAAACCATCTCCACACCACCACACCTTATCTCATCTCACACACTCAGGTCGATAGGCCAACTCCCTCTCGGCCTTGTCTCAACGGCCCGCAGCCCCCAAGGCTCACGACCGGAAAATACCCCAACCCTGGAGGGAGGAAAGAAGGACTCATCTCCTACCTAGTTTAAGCGAAAACCAGGAAAGGTCCATAGCCGACAAGTCGGCATATGTATCGATCGATCAACCATACACTCTGCAGAGGTTTTACATACCCACAAGATTAGCCAACCTCGGAGCCATGTATCTCCTAGGCAGAATTCTGGTCGCTTGCTAGCCTAGAACGATGCCACCCTACCTCTCAGCCCTGGAACATCCCAAGTCTAGTCTGGGATGGCTGATACTGTGAGTCGTAGACAGAGCCAGGGCCCATCGGATGTCAAGAGCCAGGTCCACAAGGCCTCCTGAAGTCTCAGAAGGGTGTGGGGGGAAACCACGCGCCCCGTACCTCCTTGCACATGTTCGCCTAGCAGTAGTGGCATCACTCTACCAAGTAGTCCGATCGTCCCGCACCATATAGGGCGAGTGGGATGTAAAGGATTCCCAGTGAATCTGAGTACTAGTAAGTCCTTAGGGATTGACCATGCCAGAATGTCTTCATCAGGGTTTCCATTTTACGTGCCACCACAGCACCTCCACCCTGGGCTCCTCCCATCACAGGTTCACACCCAAGGCCACCTCCAATTACCATTTACCCGCCACAGGTATTCCATATCCAAGTGCCTAGGTAGCACCACATGGCAAGACTCGCCCCAGGCTCGTCGTTATTCCAGCTCGGTCGACACAACCCTCACTCTCCACGCACCCAAAACACACGCAACATGCTCACACACCACCAAGTCCAGCACCCATAGCCAAACCATTCCCAGGGGGTTCACCACCAGCATCACATCCCCGACATAATGCGAAGTGGAGTTAATAATAAGTATAGTGGTGTAATAAGCAGGCAAGCAGGCAAGTAAGCATATATAAGCGAACGAATGCGCAAGGCAGGGTGACGTGGTAGAGTGGGTTGCATCAGGGTAATAATGGCTCAGGTAGTAGTATGCATCAAAGTACTAGCAAATGAATAATTTATAAAGCGCTAGCAGTTCTAGATATTATGCAATGTCTAATAGGATTCTCTAAAAGAGGGTGCTGCCATGACACCTGCGATGTCGAGGTAGTAGTGGTATAGTTCTCCATTCGTTGGTGTTCCATTAGCGGGGTCACCTCCTCCTGCGATGACTCCATTCCGCAGTCCTTGTCGTCGTCCATGTTCTCTTGGTCCGATCGTCAGCTACTCTGCGAAGCGACATGCAAGGCAAGAGAGCACTCAACACTCGAAAAGATGACAAGGCGCAGGAAAATCCAATAACACCAGCGAGGCAATAGGAGATACACGGCTTAGCCCTCTCGGCGATTGTCCGATTTCCTCGGGCCAAAGAATCACAAGTGGTGGTTTGCTAAGCACAAGCTTAAGTCTTGGCCAAGCCAGTATGGCTTTAGGATAGATGGTTTAAGCCAAAGCTTATCCATAGCAACACCACAGCTCACGACCTTCGATCCGGGCGTCATGGAAAGGACGAGAATCGGGGAACAAGCCCAATGAAGGAAGAACGACGGGGTTCGGCTCTTATAGTCTTATCCTATAAGTCACTATTAGATATAAGAAGCAGACAAGAATGAATAACACTATTGTGACTTGGCTCCAATGTACTTCGGCTCGTCCACTATGGTAGAAAGCGGTAGCGCAAAGAGATTGGACATCAACGGTTCCCTTCGATCCACACGACTCAATAACGTCGGGAGCCGAGAAGAGTCGTTCAACACGGCAAAAGATGCAGGGGTTAGCTAGGCACATCCATGTCATGTTCTCAGACACATCTTCGGGAAAGATGGTCTTAGACGGCTGATCGGGTCGACATGCACGGGTCTGAGGTATGACATAGACCATAGCTTCGCTAACCCAAAGAGAATAGTCTAGTCTTTGATCCAATCGTCATGGGCAAGACAGAATCGAACAGAGTGGGCTAACAGTGCAACAAGAGCAAGAACAACAAGGGACAAGGTCTACTTCTTCCAACACTCGCGCCACGATGAAAGACGGGGCATTGGAAGGAAGTGACAAACACCAAGTGCGCAGACCACTCATAGGGTACCCGACTTAGGTGCACTGTCACCAAGACATCTCTCTAATTCATAGCGGTGCGGTTGTCACCGCAGGAATCAAAGAAATGCGATGGTCATACAAGGTACAAGCATACAGGGGTTTGAGCACGAAAGAACCAAAAGAGAAAAACATGAGATTCGCCTTCCTTTGATCCACTCGCCCTAGAAGCCGACGAGAATCAAGGAATGGAATCAAGAGCGCATTAAACACCAAACAAGCAAGGGGCTCAATCCACATCTCACTGGATTGACGAGGATTGAGAACCAGAGAGAGAGAAGAATGGAATATGTACTCTTTCGACCAACTTGTCATGGAACGGACGAAGGTTGGAGAGAAGAGATACAGTCCCACGATCCAAACCAACTCATGGGGCATCACGGCCGTGCAACTATTGGCACATTGCTATTCCCTCGGTTTGCAGCAGTGCGGTTGTCACCGCTTGGATCTGAAGGAATGCTATGGTCAAGGTGGTGCAATCATATAAGGTGGCTAGGATAAACACAGGTGAAAAGAGGTAGAGCCCGATGGTCATGGTGATTGGACTCACGGCCATGAGCTTATCCTACACTAGTTGACATCCATCTTCTACAATCATCATATCCCGACTCGTCCACTAAGTTAGGCCACAAAGGGCTCA